CTCTCCAGGATGAACTTGTTTGTTCTCCTAGCAGTCCATGGTATATTCTGTATTCTTCTCCAGTACCACAGCTCAAAGGCATCCATTCTCCTTGTATCATCCCTAGTCACTGTCCAGCTCTCTGACACATAGCAAGTAATTGCAAAGACCATCGCCTGCATCAGGTACACCTTAGTCTCCAGACTGACATTGTTGCTCTTCAGTACTTGGGAGAGGTCTCCGACAGCCGACTTTCCCATTGCAATTTGTCTTTTCATTTCCTGTCCGCTGGTACCAAGAGTGTTGATTGTAGAGCCAAGCCAACTGAAGCTGTGAATAATCTCAGTCTCTTTTTTTTTTTTTTTTTTAAATTTTGTGTACGTGTACCGTCAAATCAGATCTGACTGGTACAGGAGGATATTGCGCCTCCTTCTCCGGCAGAGCGTCTGGTGGATTCGAACCGTGTTCCTCTGGGATTGCAGTGCAGCTTCTTGCCACTAGGCCACCAGAGCTCCCCAATCTCAGTCTCTTGATCATCTATCATGATGCTGCCAGTTGGTCCAGTGGTGAGAATCATTGTTTTCTTTTTTTTTTTTCATTGTTTTCTTGATGTTGAGCTTCAGTCCATATTGAAGGCTGCAGTTCTTGACCTGCAGCAAGTGCATGAGGTCCTCCTCAGTTTCAGCAAGCAGGGTTGTGTCATCTACCTAACACAGGTTGTTAATGAGTCTTTCTCCAATCCTGATGCCACATTTCTCCTCATAGAGCCCAGCCTCCCAGATAATCTGTTCTGCATATAGACTGAAAAAAAATATGGAGATAGGACACACCCTTGATGCACACTCTTCCCAATTTTGAACCATGCAGTGTTTCCTTGCTCTGTTCTGATGCCTGCCTCCTGGTGCAAGTATAGGTTTCACATAACCACAATCAAGTGTTCGGGGATTCCCATTCTCAGAGTCAACCACAGTTTGTTGTGATCCACACAGTTAAATGCCTTTGCATAGTCAATGAAATACAGACATTCCTCTGGTACTCTCTGCTTCCAGCCAAGATCCATCTGACATTAGCTGTAATATCCATAGTGCCACGCCTCTTACAATGAAATGTTCAAGGAGTTGGAGTCTGAAAATCAAAAGGGCCAAATTCTCTCAGCATTTCTTAAGCTGAAGGAACTGAAGAACTAATTCAAACCTTGAGTTGCAATACTTAAGGATGCTTTGGGCAGAATATTAAATGATCTATGGAGCATTAAAAGAAGATGGAAAGAATATACAGAGTCATTGTACCAAAACAAGTTGGTGGACAGAAGAATTTAATGAAGCAACATATGAGCAAGAGCCTGTGGTGGTTAAGGAAGAAGTTCAAGCTGCTTTGAAAGAATTGGGGGAGGGGGAAGCCCCCAGAAATTGATGGCATACTGATTGAAAAAAAAAACACCAAACAGACGCTGCCCTGGATGTGCTCACCAAGTTGTGCCAAGAAATCTGGAGGATAGCCACCTGGCCAAATGACCGGAAGAGATCTATATTTGTTCACATTCCAAAGAAAGGTAATCCGACAGAGTGTGGAAATTATCAGACAGTATCATTGGTATCACATTCAAGCAAAAGAAGGTAGTCATATGTAATTGTCCACAGAGGGAATGGGAGGGGACAGGGAGACTGGGGGTGGGGGGCAACAGGGCAAGTCACGAGGTTGTAGATTTTGGTGGGCAGGAAGAAGTGAAGGAATTGGGAATGATCCAGTGGGATCAGAAAAAGAAAAGTTAACAGTATGCATCTTTGGTGGCCTAGTGGTAAGACTCTGTGCACTCTCCTCCTCCTCTGTCATTATTGCCCCTGAAAACTCACTGGATGGTCAGCTATGGGTTGATTCTGACTTGATGGTAAACGACAAAAGCACTAGTAGCCATAGATCAATGGTGATTAACTTTGTAAGAGACAATATATGAGAATGAGCCTTTGAAACACAAAGGGAATGAAAAAATATGTACATGAATGAAAACAAACATGCACACACACACACACACACAGACACACAGAGAAGATGGAGGGAATACACAGAATCACTATACCAAAAAGAATTGGCCGGCACTGAAATATTTCAGGAAGTGTACCATAGGATCAAGAGCCAGTGGTAATGAAGGAAGATCTTCAAGCTACACTGAAGACATTGGCAAAAAATAAGGCCCCAGGAATTGATGTGATGCCAACTGGCATGTTTCAAATGACAGATGTAGCCCGGGATGTCTATGCCAGAAACTTGGAGGACAGCTGCCTAGCTAATTGGAAGAGTTCCCATTCCCAAGAAAGGGGACTCAACAGAATATGGAAGTTATTGATATCATACCCAGGCAAAATACTACTGAAGATCGTTAAAAAAACCTGCTAGAATAGTACATAGAACTGCCAGACATTCAGGCTGGATTTAGAAGATACTGTGACACCAGGAATTCATTGCTAATATCAGATGGATCCTGGCTGGAAACAAAATATACTGGAAGAATGTCTTTTGTGCAAAGGCATTTGACTGTGTGGATCTTAATAAATAATGGATAACATTGAGAAGAATGGGAGTCCCAGCACACTTAATTTTGTTGAATGAAACCTATACCTAGTCCAAGAGGCTATTGTGCATACAGAGCCAGGGAGCACTGTATGGTTTTAAATTATGAAAAGTGTGCATCAGGATTGTGTCCCTTCTCCATCCCTATTCATTCTGTATGCTGATCACATCATTCAAGAAGCTGGATTCTACAAAGAATGTGACGTCAGGATTGGAGGAAGACTCATCAGTAACCTTCAGTGTGCAAATGACTGAAATGGCTGAAAGTGAGGACTTGGAAGTACTTGCTGCAGAAGGTTTAGCACTGCACCCGTCAATATGTATTACATCTCAGTTTCAAGGAAAAAAAAATTCCTCGCCACTGGACCTATAGACAACATCATGATAAATGGAGAAAAGATTGAAACTGTCAACGGCTTCCTTTTACTTGAATCCACAATCAGTATAACTTGGTACCAGCAGTCAGGAGATCAGGAGACATGCTGCACTGGGAAAGTCTGTAGTCAGGGACTTTTTCAAATTACTGAGTTCTCAGTTTGAGAACTAAGTTGTGCCTAATTCAGACCATGGTCTTTTTAGTCATCTGCTGTGCTGGACTATGAATAAGGATGGCATTTGATGTCTTTGAACTGTGGTATTGGAGAAGAGTACTGAATAGCCTATGGATGGCCAAAAGAACAAAAGGTATTTCTTGGAGAAGGTTCAAGTCATAGTGCTCATTGGAGGCAGATGATAAAGCTTTGTCTCACCTACTTTGGACATGTTGCTAGGAGAGGCTGTTACTTGGAGAGGGACATCGTGCTTGGAATGGTGAAGGGACAGTGAAGGAGAAGAACACTCAACCAGATGGATTGACAGGGTGACTGCAGCAATGGGCTTGAGTGTTTCAGATTGTGGGGATGCCACAGATAGGATAGGGTTCAGATCTGTTGTTCATGGTCAGTGTGAACTGAGCTAAACTCGACAGCACCCAACAATAACAGTGACTAATGATGTTGTGATATCTTTGCATGCACTTTTTGGACATGTATCTATCTGTCTTTGGAGTCCAATTTAAGCTCTTTGCCCATTTTTTAATTGGGTTGCCATTTTGTTCTTGAGTTGGAATTATTTATGTATTGTAGATATTAAGTTAAATCTTATTAGATAGATATTTCCTTAGGGTTTCTCCTTTCTTCCCCCCATATAACTATTTTATTTCCCCCCTTTTAATAAAGCAGTTTTATTCTTCCTCTGTTTTAATGCAGGGTACATTATTTATCCCCTTTTCTTAGTTTTCCCCCAGCCCCCACATTAGTCCTGTTTTATAACAGTGGCATTATGTAGTATTTGTTCTTTTGTGACTTAGATATTCACTGAGCAGAATGTCCTCCAGGGTCATCCATTTTATATTTCATGAGTTCGTTGTTTTTCAGTGCTGCATAGTATTCCACTGTGTGAATATACCACAGCTTCTCTATCCATTTGTTTGTCGATGGGCACTTGAATTGTTTCCATTTCTCTGCTATTTGTGAAAAGTGCAGCAATATGGGTGTGCATGGTTTCCCCTTTAGTTTTGTGTGTTTAGAATTTCAGTGACATCCCATGTATTTTATTTTTTTCTTTTATTGCTTGTGCTTTTGGTGTCAAAGCCAAGGTCCTGCAGCATTTCCTTGTGTTTCTTAAAAGAGTTTTATAGTTTTAGTTCTTCCATTTAGCTCACTGATCTGTTTTGCATTAATTTTTTTCTACTTTTAAAATTTTGGTTTTGCATTAGTGTTCATGTGTGATGTGAGGGAGGGATCCAACCGTATTCTTGTCCATGTGGATATATAGTTGTCCCTGCAGAATTTATTGAAAAGAGAATTCTTTCCCCGTTGAATGTATGTAGCATGTTTGTTGGAGATGCCTTGAATTTTTAAAAAGTGAAGTGGTTTTATTTTGGTATAAACAAATATAGTAAAAACACTCATCACGATTGTTTCACATGCAGGATTCAGTGACATGAGTTAGGTTGTGCACATGCAGCTCTTGCCACTCTCCATTTCTAAATTATTTTACCAGACATCTGGCCTTTGAACTGTGTTTTAAGAGCAATTGAGGAGAACCTTGGCTATCACCTGCCAATTCAAGTCTTGCTAGTGTTTCCACCTCCATGGGGTGTACATTTTTTATATCCATGATACTAAACATAAGGTTGCCTCTTGAGTGATCCACTCTGTCTCCTGGGAGCCAGCAAGTGATTTGGTTACCCAGCTGCATGGGGTTTGAGTGGTTGGGATGGCCCACCCTCAAGTACTCTGAATTTTACCTCTTGCCTCGGCAGAGCCGGGACAGAGACTGAGTACTTTGGGAAATGTTAATATACCTTTAAAACTTGGAGGCCCCTGCTGACTTTTCCCCCTTATACCAAAAAATGGAGCGTGTGTGTCAGCTTCTACCGTATCTTCAACTGCTGTGTGATATTCCAGGGGTGAGTAGTATGGTCAGTGCTGGAGTGATGAGTGGTACTGGAAACCTGATGGATTTTCTCGACGAGCCATTCCCTGATGTGGGGACATACGAGGACTTCCACACCATTGACTGGTTACGAGAGAAGTCACGGGACACGGACCGACACAGAAAGGTATGTGGTATTCATCAAGCACATTTTGAAAGGGGGCTCATCTAACTGCAGCACTCAGTTTAGATTCAGTAGCATGCGTTACTGAGGGGTGAGTCGCTTTCTGTGCCATGTACTGGGCTAGGTTCTAAAGAAGAGAAGAACCAATGAGAGAGTTGTTCTGGAGGAGTGCGTGCAGGCACTCTGAGTGCAGGGGCCAGGTGACAGGGACAGAAGGAGGACCGGGGCTAGAGAAATCTGGTGCCACATCCTGCCCGTAACCCCCTCAGGCTGGCCTACTTTGGGAGTGCTATTTCTGGGCCTCATTTTCTCACCTATAAAGACAGAGGTAATGATCATGAAGATGAAGAGATACAGTGTGTGTGTGTGTGTGTGTGTGTGTGTGTGTGTGTGTGTGTGTGTGTGTAAGCAAGCTTAGAATTCCAGTACCTGACCTCTGGTTGGCAGTTAGTATGTTTTCGTGGGTTATAGTAAAGTTGTGTATTATGTACGAGGGATCACATAAGGAGGGCAAGTAGAGGGTGGCATTTTAGTTGGGAGTTGCAGGATGGGGAGTGGCCCTGTGTAAGTCACAGAGGCATGAAAGAATGGGAGGAGTCGGGGAAGTAGTATGGAGCTTTTGGGGTCTGGTGGAGAAGCCACGGAAAAGGGGACTAGAGGTGAGCCTGGAAGCATGGGCGATGAAAGCACAGTGGGAATGCCCAGTAGGTCCCGGGGAGGAGTCTGTGTCTTAGCCAGAAGGCCACAGACCTCAGGGTGCCCTGCAGCAGGAGATACAGGAAACTCTGACTGGTAGTTCAGGAGAAAGAGGAAGATGATGTGAAGGTAGAAAGCGTTTCGGGGAAGGAAACATGAATTGGTAAGTATGTCCACATTGACTGCGATGTCTGCTTTGTGCCCAGATAACCAGCAAAAGCAAGGAGTCCATATGGGAGTTTATCAAGAGCTTGCTGGACGCCTGGTCAGGATGGCTTGTGATGCTGCTCATCGGCTTACTGGCAGGTGTGTGGGGGCGTACTGTGTTTTCCTCAAGCGTTCTTAATAAGTGTTTATTATCTCTTTGTTTCCCACTCGTCTCCCCTCCCCTTCCGTATGATTCCTTCTGCGTGTAAACCTTTCTTTAGCTTTTTGTAACAGTGGTCATATACAAGATTTTCCTACTGTGGCTGACTTATTTCACTCGGCATAATGCCTTTTACATAATGGATTTTCCTGAAGGTACACATTGTACATTCTCTAGAGCATTTGACACTGAGCAGTGCGAGGGTTAGGGGTGCCAGGCTCCTGTGCAGTCGAAAATCCTTATATAATTTACCGTTGACCTTTGCACAGTTAGGGTTTGAGCTATGTGATTCTACTTTTAAGCAGATTTCCCACCCCCACCCCCGTTGCTCTCGTAATGAGCCCATTCAGTAATGATCACATGGCATTTTAAGTAGATATTCAACACTTGTACACAGTTAGGTCTGTGCTGTTCAGAGGTGAAATGTACTTGTTTATGTAAAAGGTAATTTGGGAAATTTTAAGTTACCATTACTAACCTACCAAATGAGATTAGTCTTCACTAATATGGCAGGCTATAGAATGACTAATAAACATCCCCAAATTTTCAAAATAGTTCTGGACACCTACAGGCTCTGCAGTAATCCCAGGGATATATCTCCAACTAATACATTGTTTTCATTCTCAGAAACTGTGTACTTTTCGCTTTTTATAATCCCATCACTGGGATTAATAAGTTAGAGATGTTTCCAGAGGAATAGGTGATCCTATGAATGGGACACTTTCCCCTTTCATCTCCAAACACATGCAAATGGTTTCTTTTTTTTTTTTTTATTGGGAAAAACATATTGGGGGTACAAGGAGGTGAGGGTTGGGGGCAGAAGGGTGAGGATGGGCCAGGATGCAGTTGCAGAGCTGCACAGTTTGGTCGGTGGGGGGAGCAGGTGAAGGAAATGATGAGGGTCCAGTGGGGACCAGATGCTACAGAGGAATGACAAGCATTTTCCAGTAGTAATTAAGCCAACTGTCTTATTGATTTGGGAATTGGATGCCGACTCTCTGGTTTCTTCATGCTGAACAGGGGCGTAGATATAAAGGGGGGAAGGGAGGACGCTTTATCACCTTACTGGTGGTCTTGGGTTACAGCTGCTTGCCTTCTTGCTCCTGAAGGCCGCGACGGTTCGCCCCGAGCCGGTGGCCAAGTGCAGCCCGCCCCGGGCAGAAGGTCACGATGGCTCGCCCCGGGCAGAGGGCCGCGACGGCTGAAGTAGTCTTTTTTTTTTTTTTAAAAAGAAGAAGAAAAAGTGTGTGTGTGTGTGCCGTCAAATTGGATCTGACTGGTACAGGAGACTGCCCCTCCTTCTCCAGCAGAGCATGAAGTAGAGTCTGGGGTTTTTTACCCCCCAGGTGCCTGTCGGGGCCTGGGTTTCAGCTGTCCACACCACAGCAGTGGACAACGAGCTTAAAGCCCCTGATGGCTCTGGGCGCTGACTCTCACCAGTGGCTATGGATGAAGTCACAGGCGATTTTCAGCCAGCGCCAGACAAATGGTTTCTTGAACTTTATATTCTTCTTAAAAACTGTGAAGGTTAATACTTAAGAATAAAACGTGTGCATGGTAAAGAAAAAAGCCCACCTTGAACCAACTCTTAGCTGACCCACACAGGAGGAGACTGCGCCCATCTTTCTCTATCAGAGCAGCTGGTGTATTCGAACCACCTGCCTTTGGGTGAGCCGTGCAGCGTCCTACCTGCTAGGCCACCAGAGCTCCCCTTAATAAAATAATAAAAAGAAATGGTAAAATAAAAATGCTAAAGAAAGTCCCTAAATCAAAAGTCTTAAGTCTAGCAAGAATTACAGAGAATCAAGCAGAGACTGTTCTAAACCAACTGGAATACATAAGTGCTGTAAGAATGGCAACACCAATGGAGCACAGATGTCAATTTTGTGATCTTTGAGGACTCAAGATTTCTGGGTGCTCTGCGGTTTATTCCATATGAAAGTGTAGCTGAGGCCTGGTGGTGAAGAAGGACTCCGCCCCCTTTGGCAGGTCATAAAGAACGAACAGGAATGCTGGGAATGAGAAAACTTCCCGGCTTGTCATAGCGTCCACGGCTTCTCTGATTCTTCCCTTCCTTCTCCAGTGGATTTCCTAGTATATGATGGCAGTTATCAGGGAGGACTTGATAGCTAAGCGGTGCTTGACAGCTGCTTTGGAGAGATGTTGAAGGTAGATGAGGTGAGAGTGTGCTGTGCATTTTTGTCTCTTATTCTATAGAATGTTGCTGCTGTTGTGTGCCATAGCTGACCCTGCAGTGGGTTTTCAGAGGCGATAATCACACTGGAGGAGATTGCACCTCCTTCTCCCGTGGAACAGCTGGTGGATTCGACCTTTGTCCTTTTGGGGTTGTAGTGCAGCTTCTTAGCACTAGGCCACCAGAGCTTCCTCTTATATACAACAGAAAGGATCATCATGTGTAGTAAAGGAGAGGGTTGGTAATAAAATGAGGAGACCCTCTTTGAGATGTAATGACCCAGTAATGACAGCAGTGAGATCAAACATAGCAACAATTATGAGGACATTGCAAGACCAGGCAATGTTTTGTTCTGTTGTACACAGGGTTGCTAGGAATCAAGACTTGACAGTCCCCAGGAACAGCAATATCTGTGTATCTGTCTCGCTGGCTTTCAGGAAGGAGGGTGAAAGAAGGCAAATGTGGAAGGCTGGATGCTCGGTTCACTAGTTAGCTGTGAGGGGCTTGCTGGAGCAGTTTGGGATTGTGACTAGCCAGCTAACACTTGGACTAGATTTTTTTCTTGGTCATTTCTGGAGGAATCACCTTGTTCATTAAGGGGGAAAGACCAATTAAACAGCAGCTGAGGAGATGGCCTGACCTGTGGGGCTTTAAAATGTCCCTTTTCTGGGATTCTAATGTGCAGTCAGGGGGAAGCCACTGCAGAAGAGAGCCCCAGGACATATCAAAGGAGTACCCCGAGGGAGGTACTAATGAAATCATAACAGAAAAGAGGGGCGAAATGGGTTTTGCCTGTTTGTTTTTTTTAAAGATGTGATAAAATACATATAACAAAGCTTGCCTTTTTAACCATTTACTAAGCATAGAACTCAGTGACAGTAAGTGTACTCACTGTGTTGTCACCACTATTACTCATTTCCAAAGCTTTTTCTTTATCCCAAGGTAAAACTGTCTCCAATAACAACTCATTTTCTCAGAACTCTTCTTTGGAGTGGATGTACTTTGGAAGCAAACTCAGGGAGCTGTCCCCATTCGCCTCCTCCTTCTCCAGGGCGTGGCCCTAGGGATCCCCCTGCCTGGTCTCTTGTTTTTCCCTGGCTGTTAAATCCTGAATCTTAATGAATGAGGACATAAGAACACTTCCTATAAAGTGTTTACTAAGAAACTACCACTAGATGGCACTGTTGTATCACAAAAGAAAACCGAAGCGCAGCCAGTCAGCTCTAGAGTGAGTGCCCTGTAAGGACAGCAGGTGGCGCAATAGGATAAGGAATGAACAGGCGATAACGGTGTTTGGGGCGCTCTGAGGTCTTCCCTCTTTCTGCAGGGCTCACTGTCATCCCCTCCCTACACCTTCTCCAGGTCTTTTTTCAAATGCCAACTTTCCTTTTTCCCCCTTTTGGAGCCTTCTCTTCCCAAACTTGTTAACGTTGTTCCAGGTCGTCGTTGCCACTCAGTGGGAATGGTGGAGGGATACCCGTTTGTTGCCTTTTGAGTCCAGTAGATGGCGCTTCTCGTGCTCACCAGATCCATGGTTCGTTGTCTGTCCTTAGAAGCCCTGCTGTCCGTGGGTCCAGGCACTCGCCCAGATGACAAACGGCCTGCTCCCTTCCTGGTCCTCGTTATGGCCGATGGCTTGGCGTTTCTGACTTCCCTCTGGGGTCTCATGACTTGCACCATTTCTTTCCTTCACCACAGCAGTGCCTCTTCAGACCACCATGCCTGATTCCTTCCTGGCCTTTTCTCTGGCCTCCCTGCCTTCCTTTTTTGTTCCCGTCCAGTGGGTTCTTGACAGTTAACCAGTTACTTTGAGAAATGCGATGGCAGAGAGGATGGTGGCTGGAGCACAGAGTGGAAATGAGAGAAATGATTTCTCACACGGGAGTAATGAGAGCATGTTTTGAGCACTGACAGGAAGTAGCTTTCAGAGAGATTGTTTGAAGATCCAGGAAAAGGAAGAGGAGCTGTTTGAACCCGTCTGGGGGAGGGGTGCTTTCCAAGGCAGAAGTGGGGGACAGGCCATAGCTGCAGCTGCTTTCCCTGACAGGGCATGGAGGAAAGGGCGAGTGTCTTTGGTGAGTATGTGGGGGTGTTTGGGGGTGAAGTAGGTGGGGAGTTGTAAAACTTAGTAAAATTAAGTAACCTGAAAGCATTGCCTACCTTCCTAAAAGGCTAGAGTGTGAGTTGGCCTGGAAGGAGACCCAAGGTAGCCCCACGTCGCACACAATTTCACCTCACTTCTATTAGGGCATTTTACAGGGGTTATTTGAAGACGCACAACACTTCACCTGTAGTTCAGAAATTGTGAAACTTCTAATCTCCAAGGTTTTCCTCTAGTTTTGTTGCCATTTGGTGGTCAAACCTTTGAGTGATGCTACTATAGTTGACAATCCCTACTTTGTTGGAATTGTTCTGTTTCCCCTGAAGAAAGAAAAGCATGTATAATCTCAGGTACTGCCCCAGAGCCCCCTTTTGAACCCATTTCCAAAGGCTGAAAAGGTTAAGTTGCAAAAGCCAGTAGGCCCTGGTGCTTTCTGCCCTGGTAGACCTAGTAGGATGTCTCTTTCTGCCCCTCTGTCTCCAGCGTGATCTTAAGTCATTTGAGGCCCACATTCTGCATTAGCCACTGTTCGGCCTGCATCTTGGATGTTAATGTGACTTGACTTGCCAGTTTCTTTTGTGTTGGCCTAGTGTTGTGTGCTCCCCAGGCTCCATGGGAAGTTTCCACGGAGTAAGCCATGCTCTCCCTTCCAGGCACCTTGGCTGGGGTCATCGACCTTGCCGTTGACTGGATGACAGACTTGAAGGAGGGTGTCTGCCTGTCAGCCTTCTGGTACAGCCATGAGCAGTGCTGCTGGACTTCCAACGAGACCACGTTTGAGGACCGGGACAAGTGTCCCCTTTGGCAGAAATGGTCAGAGCTCCTGGTGAATCAGTCAGAGGTGAGTCTGGGCAGGGTCATAGGTCAGAGAGTCGCCATTTATTGGAGCACCACTGCATAGTTTGAGAATGCAGTCTCTTCTCCTAATAGTCCATGGCTTAATACTATACTTGTTTTTCTCTAGCTCTAATGCAGCCATGCAAATTCGGTTGGAAGATCCGTCACGGTTGTTACATGTGTCCATTGTATGTGTATATATTTTCAAAGCCTTGTGTTGACCTTCATTTTTCCTACTACGGATGATGGTCTGTTGTTCATGCTAACGAAATGGGTCTCATTTTTAAGTCTTCTGATTGAGGAGACAGGTCTTTATTTTTCATCTAGTTCATCCATTTAGTTGGACAACCATCACTACTATCTGAGAACATTTTGTTTCCCCCAAAGATGTCCTCATATCCACCAGCAATGACTCCCACTTTCCCCCTTTTCCCCAAGTCCAAGGCAACCATTAATCTATTTTCTTAATCCAGGCTGTGGATTTGCCTTTTTGGGCAATTCCTGTAAATGGACTCATACAGTATGTGGCACCAACATACCAGTTTGTCCATATTATAAAATATGTCAACACCTCCTTCTTTTGATGGTCATACTCTATTAATTTTTTTTTTAAAACACCTCTGTCAACTGATGAACACTTGGGCTGTTTCCACTTTTTAACTATTAGGAATGCTACAGGTTTTGACATCTGTGCACAAATTTTTGTGTGGCTGTATCATTTCTCTTGGGTACGGTTGCTAGGTCATATGGTGACTCTCTGGTTAATCTTTTGAGAACCTGCCAGAGTGTTGTGTACAGTGGCTGCACCAGCAGTGAGCGAGGGTTCTGGTTCTCTTCCTCCTCCATATTTGTTGTTACCTGGTTTTTATTCTGCCGATCCCAGTAAGAAGGAAGCGGTACCTCATTATGCTCGAAGTTCCCATCTTTTCAGTGCATGCCATGAGTGCACAATGTGGCTTCTATGAGGAGAGTGTCCCAGGTACAGAGGATGTGGTGGCGAGCCACAGACTGAATTCATGTCTTCATGGGCTCTGAAGCTTCAGATCTTTCTCAAACTCTTAACATAGGAAAAGAGTTCATTTCTAACCAAATTCAGTTGCTACTATAAGGGCTACAGGCCACTGAGGCCCAGGTGTGAGGGAGATGTAGGTTGCCAAGATTGGTATTAGTGGTAAAGTAAGGAGTATTTGAGCTAAAACCGTTCTTGGAAGATATATTGACATCTCGCTCCTCGGCAGCCCCCCTGACTTGCCACAGCTGAAGACATTAGGAAGGCCCTGTGCCATTTCACTAAACCTCCTCCTCCATGGAATTGAAAATGAATTCCTTCAAATCTCTGAAGTAGACAGGGATCCTGAAATCTCACACGTTCTCAGTGTTCTCCATTACTTCCAAAAATAAATTCTGCCCTCGGGTTGATGGGAGGAGGCAGGCAAGATTGGCCGGGCGCCACGCTCTCCTCCTTTACAAGCTGTGTTCTGCGACATGATGGCCGTCCATCTTTTCAGCCCTTGTGAAGATTTATACTTTGGTTCAGAGAATTACTGTTAGCAAGCGTGAGAAGTTATTTTTAGTTTCTAGAAACAACCACCAAAAAAAAAAAAAAATGTCCATTTTGAAGCGAGTGAAAGCTTTCCTTGAGTCTGACGAGCACGCGGGGCCGGGCCTGCCTGGTGCATTTCCACAGGTGCCCTCGCCTGCGTCCCTGAGCCATCCCCATGGGACAAGAAGCTGAGGCCCAGGGAGGTGTGGCCTGCCCTGCAGCGACCACGTGGGCCTTCCCCGCGTGGTGTGTGGTTCTGACAGGATGATGGGGTTCTCCCTGCTAACAGTGCCACCTGCACTGCAGTCCTCTGGGGGTCATGAGTCGTCGGGCCTGGTTTGCCAGACACTGCCCTGCAGAGTTCATGATTTTACAGGTTGGGAAATGGACCTGAGACTGCATCCCTCCTGGGCTTCTGTGGGATGGAGGCCCCCTCCAGAGTACCGTTCTCACACTGCGTCCTTGGCGGGTGCCTGCTGTGGCAGTGCTGTGGACTTGGTGACAGCCCTGATCCGCCAGGGTCTCCGTGGCAGGCTTTTCTGCATCACCCCCTTCCATAGACCCTGCACAAGGGGTGATCAAAACCCAGGCTTCTTCAGGGCTCCGTCCTGGCTGGGGTTTCTCACCGTAGTCTGGCTGTGTAAACGGCTGCCTTGGCAATAGCAGCAGCCGATAAAGCCCCCAGCAGCCTTTCTGTTTGCCCTGAGAGGACAGACCCGTCAGGCCTGTGCGGAGAACTGTCGTGGCGTGGAGAGGCGGGCCTGGGGCCAGGCTGTGCGGACTCATGTTTTGTGTCTCTCCTGTAGGGCGCCAGCGCTTACATTCTGAATTACCTAATGTACATCCTGTGGGCCCTGCTCTTTTCCTTTCTGGCGGTCTCCCTGGTGCGGGTATTTGCACCCTACGCCTGCGGCTCTGGAATACCAGAGGTGAGTGGGACTGGATGTCTTTTAGATCAATAAGAAGAATATTGGTGTTGCTCTTCGGTGCCAAGAACAGCCCGAGCATTTAGCACACAAAACCATGCTAAAGTTGTTGTCCATCCTGACTCCTGGCGACCCCGATGTGCCAGAGGAGAGTTGTGCTCCATGCAGTTTTCAATGGCCGATCACCAGGCACCTGTGGGTAGACTCAAACCTCTAACCTTTGTGTTAGCAGTCGAGTGTGTTAACCATTTGCAACACCCGAGGGGCCTCAATTTGATGTAGACCAACTAATTTCATCCTCACAGTGAAGCAAAGAGATCAATACTATTAATTTTCCATTCACTTGACAGTGTCACTGTGAGTCATAGTTGACTTGATGGCACCTAACAACAACAACAGCAGCAGCAGACAAAGTAATGGAAGCACAGAAAAGTTCCATGAACTGACCAGGGGGGCACCTGGCTGGCGTTCTGGGAGTTGAAGCAAGCAGTCTGACTCTAGGCTGCGTCTTGGTGCCTCTAAACTGGTGAAAGCTGTGTCTTTGCAAATCAGGCACGCGTCTTGAAGCTGTGGAATGCAGCTCGTTACCCGCACACGTCAGGCGGTTCTGGAATGACTTCTGGGCACCTGTCATGTGATGAAAGGCCAGTGGGCGTGTTGGTTCCTCTCCCTTGCCGTAGTTTGCTCTTGTAGTGACAAGGTAATAGCTCGCTTGAAAATGCAATTCCCTGTGTTGTACATGCTCTCCAGACATCTCCTTGTGCATCTGGAGGCCTCATAACTGGTTTTCAGCACATTCATGGAACCAGAAGAGGGAAGAAGTGGCCTCTCCAATCAGGGGGAATGCCTGAAACCCGACTTTCAACTAGAGGGATCTGCCAAGTTGGCGTGACAATAATTGAGGAATTCCAAAAAAAAAAAAAAAAACCCCGATAGACAACACTCTAGCCAGAAAGAATCTGTCAAGTTCTCACATCGTCTCCAACATGGATACTGTTCAGTTGCCCATGATGTCGGTGCTTCACAAAGGTCCAGGGACTAGAGAGAGGCCCACTCTGAGTGTGCCCAGGGACCCCTTGACTACCTGCTGTGGGGCACCCTCTGTTGCTGACCTGGGCTCAGCCACGTGGCCCACTTTGCCCGGCAGGCCTGGAAAAGCTTCTGTGTGCTCGAACTCGTCTTCTTGCTCCTGTTGACTTGACAGCCTTGTGGAGAAGCCCCAGCTCGCCCGGAGGCTGAGTGATGGCACGGAGAGCGGCATAACGGCCATGGTCTGCACGTGTGTGAACAAGCCGAGGGGAGGAGAGCCGGGCCCAGCCCAGACTGCGGCGTCCAGCCCCTCACTCGTCCTGGCTCAAACCAAAAACAGAATCATGATGAAACAGTACAGTTAATCCTCATTGTTTGTGGATCCCACATTCTTGAATTCACTTATTAAAAATACTCAGTGTTATGCACAGATGGGGGAGGGGAAATCCCCAGCTGAGGTTGAACAAGGATGATTTAGTATTTTAGGGAACTTTCTTGCACATAACTACCACAAACAATGAGAAGTACTAATTCTCATTAATTAGGTGTTTTAAGCCACTCAGTTTTGTGGTGGTGTGGGGGTTTTTTTGTTGTTGTGGTTTTGTTTTTTTTTTAGCTGAAACTAACTGTATGGTAATGGAACAGTTAGCAAAGTATAGGCGAAGCCTCCACAGTAAAAAATATGTAATAAAAAATGTGGACAGCCCACAGAAAATGTTGCCGTGGAATTCCTTTTTGTAAGATGCAAGCGCTAGTCTTAACATTGGAAAAGAGCACTTTCCTGGATCTTGGTAGATTGGAAGAACAAAGCTAAAGAAACTTGCAGAGGTATTTTTGGAATGAAATGGTTAGCATGGAATCTTGCCACTAGGATAAAGAGATCCAAAGCAGAAAGGAGATTTGTCATCAAAACCAGAAGGAAAGGGTAACAAGGTCCCTGAATGAAAGATCAAAACCCGAATCCAGCATGGGTTCCCTGGGGAGCTGCAGGGAACTGGAGTCCTTTTGATTATCTGGCACCAGACACAGTATCTTGAAGAAAACAGCACTAAGAAAGGATGGGAGATTAAAGAATTGCCCAAGTCCCAGAAGCTCTGTAAGCAAGGTGCTATCGAGTTTTCTTTATCTTCCAAATGTACATTTGCATGTGAGAAAGTTTATGTACAGAGAATGCCACAGAGGAAAGCGAGGGACTGGGAAAAACCCAGCCCTCCCAACTCCACAGACCTGTTTCCACCAGGGAGGAGAAAGAGTGAAGAGGAAACACAAACACACACACACACACACACACACACACACACACACACACGCCTGAGGGGAACAAAATGAGGGAAAACAATGGTGTTTCCTGAGTTGCACAGTCCTCCTGCATAGAAGATGTAAGAATTGCAGCTGGAATGCTTCTCAGAAGCCATATGGTGAGGCTTTGTCTCACAGACTTCGGTTGTATTTTCAGGGACCTGTCCCTAGAGAAAGACCTCACGTTATTTTGTAAACTAGAGGGTTAGTAAAGAAGAGGAAGACCCTCGGTGAGGTGGATTGCCACAGTGGACGCAACCTTGGGCGTCAAGCCAGCAGACTGTGAGGGTGGCGTACGTTCTGTGAGCCGGAGCTGACCGCGTGGAGAGCTAGCAGCATCAACTGTCTGCATATAAACACATTTAGAACTGAACAGTCCGAGTTGCGTGCACTTGAAAGTTTGGAGCTGATCTGGGCAGCAGCATCCGTCTGTCAACTGTGTTGTCTCATAATGGTCTTTGAGATGTGGTACAAAACACTAACAACCTTCCAAATACTCTCCTTTGCAGTGAAGATTCTGGTTTTAAAGTTAACCCCACCCAGCCACCAAGTCTGCTGCATTATGTCTAGTTAAAGCCCTGCCTTGCCAGTCTCTATTAATTCAAATTAAAGCAAGTGATTGGATTTTGGCATCTACTGGGAATGAATTTGCCTTCCCAGCCCCTAATTTGATCATGACTATTTTACAAAATCATTTTAGAGAATTACAAAATACCTATTACATTGTTCCATTCACCACATGTCACGGCTGGCAAAGACTCAGGTAATTTAGATGCTTGTAATTTTCTAAATGGTATTACGCTTTTCAACTGTACCCTGGGGTCTCTATGCACATTAACTAACTGACAAAAAATTATAGATAATTTTATTTGAGGCAACAAAAAAGGGCAGGATTGTGGCAGGCATAATAAAACATCCCTTAAATAAAGGGACCTGAGATCCCCAGAGCACTGGTTCAATTAGGCTAACTATCACTAGGTAAAGACTAGTTTAACCACGACTCACTGGCCTGTTTAGTTAGAAACTGTGGAATGCCATCTGGCTCTAGTGCTAAACACCCCCACACCCATCCCATCTGTCAGTATGTTCCACTCTGGTGACATGTATGTTGCTGGGATACTGGAATCTATGTCATGGCTATTTTTAAATAGCAGAGTGTTTGATCCAGTCATCATGGTAGACAGGTTTCAGGGGAACTGCCACAGCAAGACTAGGGAAAAAGGCCTGGCAATCTCCTTCCGAAAATTAGCAGATGAAAACCTGCCAGACGGTAACTGGGGCGCAGGATTAGGCATGGCCTTCCCATGAGTTGGGGCTGACTTGACAGTAGCTAAGAACCAGTATAACCAAAACTCTGCTTCATGTAATTAGAGAAACAATGCCATTGAGTTCTGAGTCAGGACACCCAGACACACATTCTGTCTCTATTGCTCTTTCTCCACTTGACTTAAGAAACAGAATGCCATCGTAACTCCAGAGATGGAAACAGTTGCCTTTGACCCCTGGGCTGACGTTTGCTCACTCATGACCTTCAGCAGCTTCTTGACACTTAACTCGCACCACTCTTTACATGGAGCATCTTTCAGTCGTCAAGAGTTAACAGTCACATGTGTCTTCCCAACACAGCAAAGGGTAATGAAGAGGACAGATTAAAATGTCATAAACGAAATGAGACCATAGTAATTACTCCTTCAGTCCTTTTTACGATGTCTTAATACTTTAGGAACTCGATCGAAGATTTTCCACTCATTGGATGCTTCAAAAAATTTCCATTAATAAAATAGAAAATTATGTACTAGGGTAATAAAAATTCTGGTAGTATAATGATACAAAATTATGGCAAAATAAAAAAGCAAAAATAACCTCTCCTTGAAGTGGTTAGCATGCTCCCCACTAATTAAAAAGTTGGAGGTTTGAGTCCACCTAGAAAAACCTCAGAAGAGAAGTCGTTATTGAAAACCTTCCGGACCACAGTTCACTTGTGACCCGTGTGGAATTTCCAGAGTGACAACTGGATTTTGTTTGTTTGCATATCACTCAGTGCATCTAAGCTTTGAAAATCCAGTTCTGAGGAATGAGGGGGTTTTTGAGCTGTGACACTGGAGCAGTTGATCCAGCGTCTCCATCCTTCTGTTTCAGATAAAGACCATCTTGAGTGGCTTCATTATTCGGGGCTACCTGGGCAAGTGGACTCTGCTGATCAAGACTGTCACCCTGGTGCTGGTCGTGTCCTCTGGCCTGAGCCTTGGCAAGGAGGGGCCCCTGGTGCATGTGGCTTGCTGCTGTGGCAACTTCTTCAGCAGCCTTTTCTCAAAGTACAGCAAGAATGAGGGCAAGAGGCGTGAGGTGAGTTGACTCGGCTTCCTCCTCCGCCTCCTGCCCAGTCCCTCCCGCTGTGGTTCTGCCCAGGGCAGGCCTCGGGCTTATGTGCACTGGTTTGCCTCATAGGTACTTTCAGCTGCCGCCGCCGCTGGAGTGTCTGTGGCCTTTGGGGCCCCAATTGGAGGTGTGCTCTTCAGCCTAGAGGAGGTGAGAGTGCTTGTTGAGGGGATCTTTGGTGGTGGTGGTTTTTTTTTTTGTTTTTTTTTTTTAAAACCCCATTTGCCAATGTTATTGTACTACCCTGATTGTCAGCATTTTTAGGTATACGAGTCAATGGTGTCAATTGCATTAATCATATTGTGTAGCCTTCTAATCATATTGTGCAACCATCACCCATCATTGCTGTCAAAGTGCTTTTTAAAAAATGATTTTGGTCTGGGTGAAACCTGGCAGAGCAAATTGTTTACAATTTGACAATCTATACATGTGTTTCATGGCATTAGTTGCCGTCTTCTCAATAGATCAGTACCTGTGCAGTATTTGTCCTTTTGTAGTTATTTCTCTGCTGCTTTCACTCAGCAGTTTTTCTAGATTCGTCATGTTGGAGCATGGATCGGAGCTTTGTATCTCCTTGTGGCTGAGCAGTCCTCCACTCTATGGGTAGTAAGTTGCTCCTGCCATTTTGGACTGACTGGCTTTATTGTTGTTAGATGCCATTGAGCCAAGTATGACTCTTAGTGACCCTGTGACCAACAGATCTGAACCCTGGCCTGTCCTGTGCCATCCTCACACTTTCCGACACACGAGCCCACTGCTGCAGTCCCTGTGTCAGTCCCCCTGGGTGAGGGTCTTCCTCTTTTCCGCCTTCCCTCCACCTTTCCAAGCGTGATGTCAGTCTCCAAGCAATAGCCTCTCCTAGCAACATGACAAAGCTTATGAGATGAAGCTGTATCATCATCCTTGCCTCCAAGGAGCACTTCTGCTGCCGCTGCTTCAAGACATATCTGTTTGTCCTCTTGGCCGTCCATGGGATAATCAGTAAACTTCCCCAACACCACAGCCCAAAGGCATCAGTTCTTCTGTCATCCTTATTCATTTTTTAAAAAAAAGGAATAGAAAGCTTAGTGGCTTTGAGAGGCAAGGAGATTTGGATGGTGGGCACTGCAGGGTCCTTCTCCTTTCCTTGGGGCCTAGATTCAAAGAAAGAGTCAAAGAGATTCCTGCTGTTCATTAAAGAACCACAATGGCTACCTGTAAACATCTCTTTTTAAACGTTGTTTTTAAAACTGCCAGTATTATTTAAAGATTTATATCATAATCAACTTAATTAAGCATTTTTATTTTTGGCTTCTCAAATAGATCTATTTTGGCTGCAAGTGGATTTTTTTCCTGCAAAAGGTCAGATAATAAATCTTTTCGGCAGGCCGTGCATCTCTAAAAGAACCACTTAACTCTGCCATTGTATCGCAAAAAAGCAGCCATTGGTGATATGTAAATGAATAGATATGGATGGGTTCCAATAAAACTTTATTTGTGGACATTGAAATAGGAATTTCGAATCATTTGCACATGTCACAAAAAACTCTTAAAAAGCGATTTCAAAAATCTGAAAGTCAGTCTTAGTTTGTGGCTTGTGTAAAACATTTGGCGTGCCAGGATTGGCGCTCTGCCAGTCTCTGATCTCATTGGCTGTCTGTAGAGTCAAAGCCAAAGGCTCCCGGGCTTTTTGAAGATGATCTCTGTGCCTTTGTCCCACACAATTCACACACACTGTCTAATAGAGGGGCCAGTTGCTGGTAGATGGAGGAGAACATCATGCTTGGTAAATTGGAAGGCAGTGAGAGAGAGACCCTTGATGAGATGGGTGGACCTGGTGATTGCGCTTAAGCCCAGCTGAGGCTGCGAGGGGGGCCCAGGAGCGGGCAGGATTGCGTTCTGTTGTTCGTGGGTCACTAGGACTTGGAGCCCGCTCAGTGCCCCCTAGTAACAGCTGTGCCATCAACAAAAAAACGTGAGGAAATCCTTTCATTTCTCTTTTATAGCTCCAGCCCACCTTGATTCATAGCCTTTCAACTTTTGAGACACAACTAGAGTCCTTGAGCTATTTTTATTTATTTTTTTAGAATTTTTATTATTGTGTGTACCGTCAAGTCAGATCTGACTGGTACAGGAGGATATTGTCCCTCCTTTTCCAGGAGAGCCTTTGGTGGATTGGAACTGTGCACCTCTGGGATTGCAGTGCAGCTTCTTGCCCCTAGGCCACAGAGCGTGCCGAGCTATTTTTATTGATTGCTTTTGGCCAGAAGTAAAGCGAGGCTGATGATGTGACTTGTGCCACCCTTTGGTCTTAGCGTATCTTGGTGCTGTGGCCAGCAGGTGGCTGCCAGCCAGGGGATTCGGGGCTCGGGGTCTCATGTTCTCTCTCTTCCTCCAGGTCAGTTACTACTTTCCCTTGAAGACCTTGTGGCGGTCTTTTTTTGCGGCCCTGGTGGCGGCCTTCACACTGCGCTCCATCAACCCCTTTGGCAATAGTCGCCTTGTCCTCTTCTATGTGGAGTACCACACCCCCTGGTACATGGCCGAACTCTTCCCCTTCATCTTGCTTGGGGTCTTTGGGGGTTTGTGGGGAACCCTCTTCATCCGCTGTAACATCGCCTGGTGTCGGAGGCGCAAAACCACCAAGCTGGGGAAGTACCCAGTGCTGGAAGTGATCGTGGTCACGGCCATCACCGCCATCATTGCCTACCCCAACCCTTACACACGCCAGAGCACCAGTGAACTAATTTCTGAGCTCTTCAATGACTGCGGGGCTCTTGAATCCTCCCAGCTCTGTGATTACATCAATGACCCCAACATGACCAGGCCTGTAGACGACATTCCCGACCGGCCAGCCGGGGTCGGGGTGTACACAGCCATGTGGCAGCTGGCCTTGGCACTGGTCTTCAAAATCGTCATTACCATATTCACTTTTGGCATGAAGGTAAGTAAAAGGCAAGAGTAGCAGCCTATGCTGCAAAATGAAAGGGAAGCTGGCTGAGATGGAAGGTTGCTTGGGTCTGGTTCTTGAGAGTCTTGGTTTCTTTCATTGTCACAACAAGCCTGTGAAATGGAGACGTGAAACCCCATTGTACCAGTCAGGAAGCAAGGCTTCCACACAAGTTCACCTGCTGGCTGGGTGGTGCCAAGTGGTCGACAGAAGCTAGATTTAGATCAGCACATTCCCCCAAGCCTCAGCTGGCGTCCTAGGGACTGGGTTTAGTACACAGATGTGGACCCCAAAACCACACCAGTCCTGGGAGAGGAGGGGATACGCAGTGCTCCCTGGCTGGGCACCGCAGGGCCCTCGTTTTCTCTGGACAAGCAGTGCCCTGCTTTACCCTGGAGGGCTGTGCAGTGTCCAGGAGCTTAGTCCAAACCACCAGCAGCAGCACAACAGTCCCTTTTCAATTTATATGCTTGAACGCTGTGCTCAGATCAGTGCAGATCAGAACGGCTGCTTTTGGTGCCATGTTCTTTTAAAGCGCCGTAGATATGGGATCTAACTGATGGCAGCAACTTGAAAGATGAGATGGGAAGCTTAGGAGGCAGTGATGTTATGCTCACAGGAGGAACAACTCCGAAAAGGAGTGTGACGGTAGCCACACAACTCCAAGACTGTCACCTGCCTTGCCGAATTGTACATGGAGCACAATTGTTGGTGCATGTTTTGTTAAATAACGTTCTCAAAACAACAACAAAATGAGAAAGAAATCGTTTGAGACATTGTTGGAAAGTGCTTCCTGTAGTGCTTTCTTTATTGAAGGAAGCTGCCGAGGAATCACTGCTGCTTTAACAACTGAGGGGACATTGACGTGATACGGACATGAGCATTTTCAAGGGAACAATTCAGTGGCATCAATAGGTTTACAGGGCTGTGTGGGCCCGGCCTCTTTATCTAGTTGCAGACATTTTCATCACCCCAAACCCCACAGCCATTAGAGTCACTCCACATTTCCTCTGCCCCAGCCCCTGGTCACCACTAATAGGCGTTCTGTCTCTCTGCATTTGCCTATTGTAGATATTTCCTATAAATGAGATCAGACAGTAGTTATCCCGTTGCATCTGGCCTCTTTCATTCGGCATCATGTTTTCAAGGTCCATCCACCCTGCAGAATGCATGGTGCCTCGTTTCTCGTGATAGCTGCCTAACACTTTGCTGGATGCATAAAGCACATTTTGTTTATGTATCTATCAGATGCTGGACATTTAGGTGGTTTCCACATTTTCGAATTGTGCTATTATTTTTTTTCCTCTCTTTACAAATCTTACTCGGGTTGATCATTCATGCAGAGGGCTACACAGCATGGTACATTTCATAAAATCCACACGCTCATGTGCCCCCACTGTGAGCAGAAGCAGAAGGTTATAAGCCCCACTTCCTCCCCCAGAGCCCCATGTTGAGCCATCACTATTGTTTCCTTTTTTTAGTCTGAGGCTCTGTGTGCCTGAGTGTGTGGTGGCCCAAGGCAAACCTGAACATTTGCTCTAAGAACAAGGGCCGGTGGGCTGTATGAACCTGCTGACTCTGCTAGGTCAGCTCCTAGCAAAAGACATTACTTTCTTGTCTGTGGAAGGTTCTGGTGGCAGCTTTTGGAGTCTTGTAGGGAATGTCTTCTTGAACTATAATTTTCTTAAGATCTGCACAGCAAAACACACCAATTCACCAGCCTCTGTGAGTGCAGTTTGGTGACACTGGTTACAGTCTTTGAGCTGTGCCACCATTCTCGGCCTCCTCCCTCAACACCATAAACTCACTGCCTCCCAAGGTCACGTCTGAGCTTTCTAGTTGCTGCTTGAAGTTGATCCCACGTATAATGCCTAATTCTGTATTCCTTTTAAATAGTTCTTTCCTTCGTCTTTTCCAATGCAACCCTCACAGGTAACCTTAGTGAACACAGAGTCAGGTTTGTGCCCTCGCCATCGGATGGGTTGAGCCATCAATAAACTGAAATGGGGGTGGCTCTTGGGCACTGTTCTGAGTCATCCCATAGGGGTTTCCTAGGCTCTAATTTTTATTTGTGCCAATCACCAGACCTTTCTCTGGAGGAGTTTCTTGATGGGTTCGAGCTGCTGACCTTTTGGTTGGCAGCAGAAAGCATAAGCATTGCACTCCCAGAGCTCATTAAAATGTATTGGCAGCCAGCAAAATCTAGGACATGCTATTGCAGAGACCTTTTTGTCGCCCTAGTCTGGTGGTTCTTTGTTGTTCTTTTCTCCCGTCCTCTAAGCTGGCTCTGAAATGTTGAGAGCACGTTTAGGCGAGTAGGCTTTTCTGAGGAGAGTGAGCTGCTCCCTCGTTCCCCCCCTTCCCCACACACAGAGGGCAGTCAGCACATGGGCTAGAATCACCTCAGTGACTCGCCTTAGCAAGCGTCTGGACCATCCCTGTGAGTTCATCTCAGAGCCTCATAGGCCTGCCTTTGCCATTCTCCTGTGGAGACTTGACATTTCCTTTCTAAAGGCCATCTGAATGAAGGTAGAGGGGGGAAATGACGAGTCTCCTGAGTGACAGGCTCGCTCTGAATGGGACCTGCAGTGAGGTTTATTGTCCTTTAATCCACAGTGGGCAAAGAGAGGGGATCAAAGTGTGGCGTGACTTTTCCCCGAGTCAGTCGACATAGCTGGCCCTGCAGCGCGTGTCAGTGTCCCTGGCCCTACTTGCCTGTGTCGGCAAGCTGTACCTCCCGGTGGCAGACTGTGTTTTCTGGGGTGTGGGAAATGGGATGCCTCCTCATGATGCTTTTCTCTCTGTGCCCCCTGGAGATCCCGTCGGGCCTCTTCATCCCCAGCATGGCAGTGGGAGCGATGGCTGGCAGGATGGTAGGCATCGGTGTGGAGCAGCTGGCGTATCACCACCACGACTGGATCATCTTCCGGAACTGGTGCCGCCCTGGTGCTGACTGCGTCACGCCAGGGCTCTATGCGATGGTGGGAGCTGCCGCCTGCCTGGGTATGACTCCACATGGGACAGGACGGGGACTGCCAGGGATGGTGACCAGGGCCAGGTTGGGATGGAGAAAGGGAGGCTACTCCTTCTGGAGCCTGGTCCATTTCAGAGGCCTGGATGGGTGGCATTCTGAACTCTCCTTCGACTCGCTACATGGCGGATTGTCAACGCCATCTGCACTCTCTTCCCCCGTGGCAGGAGGAGTCACCCGGATGACGGTGTCGTTGGTGGTCATCATGTTTGAGTTGACGGGCGGTCTGGAATACATTGTGCCCCTGATGGCGGCTGCCGTGACCAGTAAGTGGGTGGCCGATGCCTTCGGGAAAGAAGGCATCTACGAGGCCCACATCCACCTAAACGGTTACCCATTCCTCGACGTGAAGGACGAGTTCACCCACCGCACGCTGGCCACCGACGTCATGCGGCCTCGGCGCGGGGAGCCGCCGCTGGCCGTGCTCACGCAGGACAGCATGACTGTGGAGGACGTGGAGACGCTCATCAAGGAGACGGACTACAATGGCTTCCCTGTCGTGGTGTCCCGAGACTCTGAGCGCCTCATCGGCTTTGCCCAGAGGAGAGAACTGATCCTCGCCATAAGTGAGTAAATGAGATGACTTTGGAGACAGTGTGGAAAGGATCAATGGTCTTGAAGCCCAGGCTTCTCAAACATTAGTGTCTATTTGTGTCACTGAGGCATCCACTTAAAATGCATGCTCTGCGTCAGGAGACCATGGCGGGGCTGAGACTGCATGAGCATTGAAACTGCTGGCCCACACAGCTCACGGGTGGTCACTGAGCAGGGTCGAAAGCGGAGTCTTCCCCTAGGCATTCCTGTCTGGTCAAATGGCCATCGTGCTGACAGGAACATCTGGGCCCCACCCTGCTTGGAGGGCAGCTGCAGCCTTTCTAGGGAAGGGAAGATGCAGAGGGGCCCCACTGCTCTCAGAGGCCTTCCCCATTGCTACATCCTCTGGCTTTAGCACATAGTTTATGATCACTTCCACCTGGGAGAGGCCTGCTGGGGGCATGGGCATGGCTAGAAGTGAGCCGGTCTAGCTGTTGATTATGAATGAGGTTCAGGTGGGGCATCCCACAAAAGGGCGCTCGGAGAAGCGAGGCCATGGCCCCATCAGCCTTGTAGGGTTAGTGGGAAGTGAGAGGGAGGATTTCACGGGTAAGTCTGGGGGCCCGGGCCTGGCTAGGAGAGTCGCTGGGAGCTCCAGGCAAGACCAGTGAGCCCCTTGGGCTTCTGGGTGGGTCTTGCTCGACCTCCTGATGTTATAGGGATGGGACCTGCATCCCCTGTGAGCCGGAGGCCCCTCACAGGGCTCGTGTGCACTGAAGATTTGACAAGATCTTCCAGAATATTGATGCAGCTTATCGGGGGCCTCGCCTCATGTGATTGCAAAGTGTCCTCCTGTGAACACAGCTGGGCATGTGGCTCTTTCTCCCTGCCTTGTACCACTCGTTGCTTGTTCCTTTGACTTTGCAAAACCTTTAAACTTTTTCAGGAGCCTTTGGTTTGAAGCCACTGGCTGCTGTCTTGTACAAAAGACGTAATCTGCTCCTGTAAAGACTGCTCGAGGTGCGGCTGACCTCCCTCCAGACGCGTGTGGTAGAATGAAGCACTGCCCGATCCCACCCCAGCCTCGCAGTCTCTGCTGTGCTTGGTCCTTCCGGCCGCCGTGGCAGCCCTTTTCATCGAGGGCCTTGTCCTTCCGGCCACTGTGGCAGCCCTTCTCATCGAGGGGCTTGTCCTTCCGGCCACTGTGGCAGCCCTTCTCATCGAGGGCCTTGTCTTTGCTTTACGAACAAGATGGCCTTCTCCAGGGACTAGGCCCTCCTGACAGCAAGTCCAAAGTCTCACCATTCTCCCTTCTCAGGAGCATTCTGATTGTATTCTTCCTGCTGCCAACCCATGGTCTGCCTGTTATTGTTCACCAGCACCAGAGTTTATGTGTGTCAACTCTCCTGTCAGTTATGAGGGTTGGTTTGTGTTGTGTTTTTTTTTAAAAAAAGCTATCTAAGTTAGGGGTGCTGTTAGGAACCTCCATCTCTTCCCCATCTATCAATTGGTGCTTCCAGTTGTCCCAGTGGTGAGAATCTTTGTTTTCTTGATGTTGAGCTTCAATCCACATTGAAGCCTGCTGTCCTTGACCTTCTGCAGCCAATGACTGAGGTCCTCCTCAGTTGCAGCAAGCAAGGTGTGTCATCTGCATAATGTAGGTCGTTGATGACTCTTCCTTCAATTCTGATACCACACTCCTCCTCGTAGAGCCCAGCCTCTCAGATGATCTGTTGCACATTGAAAAGGTAATGGCTGCATCCATGGCATACACCTTTCCTGATTTTGGACCATGCAGAGTTTCCTGCTCTGTTCTGATGACTGCCTCCTGGTTCAAGTAGAGGTTTCACATAAGAAGTATGTTTTTCTCAGAGTCAGCCACAGTTTGTTGTGATCCAAACAGTCAAATGCCTTTGCATAGTCCAACATCAACACTCTTGGTACCAGCAGCCAGGAAATCAGAAGACTAATTGCATTGCATAAATCTGCTGTCAGGGACCTCTCTAGAGTACTGAAGAGAAACGATGTCAGTCTACAGACATTAGGTGTGTGTAATCCAGGCCATGGCCTTCACAGTTACTTGCAATACATCAGAAAGCTGGACAATTAACTAAGGATGAAAGAAGAAGAAATGATGCCTTTGAGCTGTGATGCTGAAGAACAGTATTGAATATACCATGGGCTGCAAGGAGAATAAACAGGTTCATCTCGGAGAGGGTGAAGCCGGGCTGCTCCTTGGAGGCAAGGATTCTGAAGCTTCGTCTGACATACTTTGGACATGTTGCAAGGAGGGACCAGTCCTTGGAGAGGGACGTCATGCTTGGGAGGGTGGAGGGACAGCGCAGGAGGGGAAGACCCTCTACGAGGTGTATTGATTCAGTGACTGGGGTAATAATGGGGGTAGCTGTGTCAGAGATAGTGAGGTTGACTCAGTAGAGCAGAGTTCAAAGCTGTTGTACATAGTGTCGCTGTGAGTTGACGGCACATAACAAGAAGTGGGGTTGGGTTTGTTTTAAAATAACTTAACCAACAGCCTTTAGCAAATTTATTCAGTCTCTCTCTCAAATCTTTTAAGCAAAGGTTGAAATTTAAAAGGAAAAGTGATAAATGTCAAGGCATCCATTACCTATGGTGGCTCCCAGCACACCTGCTAAGAGCGAACTGACTAATTGCACTGCAGCCCATTACTGTAATCAAGTGGGAAGCGGTAATTGTCATCAACCTGGTAGAGAAAAAATTTCAGCTTGGCCACCAGCGTGTTCTAGAAGCTATGTTTGCAATGTCTGGAGGGGCAGCACGCAGGGGAAATCATACCTATGTGCTTTCAATCAGCTGATGATAGTATAGTAGCTCGTGGAAAGGTGGGAAGTTTTCATTCTGAGCCATCGGGAAAGCTGTATTCCTGATCTGTAGGAACAGAAGAATCTCTGAACTCTGGTTTCTGGCTTGTATTTTTGGAAAGATAAGCCTTATCGTGAACCAAGAGAGAAACCGTTAGCAACTAGCCAGTAACTGTCCTGTGCCGAATTCATCTTCAGGGAAATTGGGAGCAAATGGGAAATCTTCAGGATAGTTTGGACAAGAAAAGAATGGAAAAATAGGTAAAAGGAATTTTTCCTTACTCATCATGTTTAAAATTTTAGCAGTTGTTCACATGGAAATGAAAATGCTCCCCCCCCAATCCATCTCTGCAATACCAAACCATAGCAATTGTCTTTGTGAGACAGCAATTAATTAGCACCACCAAGAAATACGAGCCTCTACATCATCACGTGTTAACACATGGAGCATTCAGGACCCTTATTCAAATCTGTGTACAGCGAGACTTGACTTCTCACTGCTTTTTGCTGATACCAGGCTTCCTCTGTTCTCAGCACAGCCAGACCTCTCTTGTCTTGCATTGCGCAGTTACGCCAGTGAGGACCGAGAGTCCGTGGGAAGCCACAGAGTTGATGAAAGGGGTGGAAAGTCAGAGTTACAGGGTGGAGTTAAGTGAACTCCTCCTTTGTGCATCCGGTGGCTGATTTCATGATGGCTCTCCAGCATGTGGAAGATGCTTACTTGCAGAAAGGGGCCTCTTTCCAGGTCAGAAGAAGAGAAGGTCTGCAGGACAGATCTTTAGGCGTGGGCTGAGTGGCTTTTGCTGGGAAGTTCAGTGTCAGAACAGGCCACAGAGAACAGTGGTGTCACTTTGGACTTTCTGCTTGGGATATTAAACCTACAGGCGAAGAATTTTCTCTGTGCCCTCCTGAAGTATAACTTGTCATAAAATAATCGGCCTTTTTCTCCTGTGTCATGTTTATCTTTTGTCTTCCATATCGTCTTAGTACTGGCCACCACGTTGCCTCCACATTAATTGAATTTGTTCTATGGAAGTGTTTTTAGTTGACAGGTTGATAGAACATTCCGTTCTTAAAAAGCATACACCAAAACCAAAGCAGCCACTGCCCTCAAGGCCATTCTGACTCAGGATGACCCTCTGCCGGTTCTCTGAGGCCGTCAATATGGAAGGAGACTGTCCAACTTTTTCTCTTCGGATGGCTGCTAGACTCAAACTACCAACTAACTTTAAAGTTAGCTTGCCAACACATAAAACATAATAACACTATATAAAAAGCTAAGAAAAGGTTTACACAGAGATAGATTAATTCTGGATGGTAACCAAGGATAAGCATAGAGAGATGGGAGTGAAAATTAGTAAACAGATCAACTCAAACTCAACCGTTGCTGTCGAGTGCGCACCAACTTAGCTGAGCCTCCCTCCAGTGGGTTTTCAGAGGCTGTAAATCGCATACAGAGATATGAGGGGATGGTGCATATTAAGGTGGGTGAAGGGAAAAGGAGTGATCAGCCCAATATCACTAAAAGAAAGGGGAGACCCACAGAGGTATCGAAGGATTAGCGGAAATCAGAATTACGTGGAGGGAGCGGGAACAGCACGTTATATCGTAGGTGTTAATGTTAGAGAACAAAATGCATGTGAACGGTGGGATAAAAAACAAATTTGTAAACTTTCACTCAAATAATAATTTTTTTAAAAGCCTAACTACTCTAAAATGGGATTTCTCCACCTCATTACTGTTGTCACCTGGGGTGAGAGAATTCAGTGTGTGTGTATGTGTCCTTGGGTGGGAGGAGGGCCAAAGAGCGCTCTTGTGTAATGTAGGGTGCTGTGTAATGCAGCATCTTTACTCTCCACCCACTAGATGCCAGTAGCAACCCCTTCCTCGAGTACTTAGAACCAAAAATATGTCCAGACAAGGCCAAATGTCCCCTTGGGGCACAGTCACCCCCAATTGTGAATCACTGCACTAAAGCTTATCTGATGCATAATTATTTCCAATCTCTTAAAATTTCTTGGCCTTTCACAATTCATAGTGAAATTCATCCTCCCAGCACTAGTAATTACCCGCTCTACGTCTGATCTGACATTGCCGACATAGTGTTGCTAGAGAGTAGAATGCCAAATTGAGTAACTGCAGTAGACAGCCTCATAATGAACTACGACACTATATCTCAGGTGCTGTAGCCACTGATCCTAATTGTAGTAGAATATATGACAGGCCTCCTATGTAGCTTTAAATGCCGTTTAAGAACTCAAATGTTAAAACATTTAAAACTCTTACTAGTCCTTGCATTTTTACCTATATACACACACAGAACATTAGTTGCTGCCAAGTTGACTCCAACGCATGGCAGCCTCGTATGCAGAATAGAAATGTTCCATGGTGGTGTCAAGGCTCCTGCCTTCCAGAAGCAGACCATTGGGCCTGTCCCCAAGGTGCCCTTGACTGGATTCAAACTTTCAACCTTTCAGATAGTAGCTGAGCACTTAGCTATACCACATACAGGCCTGTTGTTGGAATCCACTGAATCTATTCTGACTTCTAACGACCCCCTCTGACAGAGCTGACTTGCCGCATAGAAATGTCTAGGCTAGGAAGCTCTGGTGGCCTAGTGGCAAGAAGCTGTACTGCAATCCCAGAGGTGCATGGTTTGAATCCACCAGATGCTCTCCTGGAGAAGAAGGGACAGTCTTCTCCTGCACCAATCAGATCCAATTTGATGATACACAACACAAAAATATTAAAATCAGAATGAAATTTTAAAAAAATGAAATGTTTAGGCTGTGATCTTTATGGAGACAGATTGTTGGGTCTTTTCTCCTGAGACACCTCTAAGTGGGTTTGAATCACTGGCTTTTCAGTTAGTAGTTGCGCCTGTCACCGTCTGTCGTAGCAGACTGGGAGTAGTTGGTTCTCTCTAGTGGAGGAGTGCAAAGAACTTACTTTCTGCTTCTACTCACTTAGCTTTTGACTGGTAGACAGCACCCCTACCTCAGAGTTTGAAGCCCACAGATAAGTTTTTGTAGTAGCATTCCAAAATGGCCTCTTTTGTGCAGGTACAACAGTAGTTACTACTCTTTGAGTAGCATGAGACACAACACGGATCTCCACGTCTGGCCCTGTGGCCCTTGCTTGACAGTAACTAGCTCATGAAACGGGCCCTGTTCCACATGACAGAGCAGAGCCAGACATGCTGGGCTTCGGTAGACCTACACAGCCAGACATTCACTCCCTTGGTTAATTTGTGTGTGCATTTGGCAAATACCTGTTTACTGTCTGTGTTGTGCTAGACATTGTGCAGCCTTGAGATTGCTCTGCTGAGGCCAATAGAAGATTGTGATTTCTTTTAACAAGTAGATTGATAGACCACTAAGTTATATCTACTTTTGAAAGGACTAAGTGAATCCATGTGATCAGTTCTGGATTCTAGCGCTTTGTGCCAGCAGATTGTTGAAATAGGTGCAATTTCTGATCTATGGCTTTTCAGAGTAGGAAAATGAGCAAACAAGTGTGTATTGACTCTGCCTTGTGGCCTTTCTACTTAAAAATGGAAGCCTCTTCGTTGTGAAAAGAGATGCACCATGAATATTAGGTAGCATCGACTTTTGAGACCATGTTGTGCACCAGTGTCGTCTGTATCTGTGGTTGAATCGGGTCCCATTTGATGTCACTTGATTTAACCTGACCCACATAATGGGCAGGCATTTGCCCAGCGGGCCCATGGTTCCTTTTTTAAACAGAGCCCCCTTTTCAGACTCACTCTGACCTCAGATGCTGCCAGTTTTCCACTCGACTACTCTCTTGCAATAAATGGCCTTGGAGGAGGCAGTTAGAATTTTATTTTTGAAAGAACAGTATAGGTGAATAGTCATCTTTTAGGAGGGGGAGAAAAAAAGTCTTCTAGAAACCAGAATCCATTTTAAGGCAAGCCTCACTGTACATTTTCCCTTAACCTTTTCCCATGAACCAAAAGAAAGATTAAAATTCCAACAGAAGGAAAATCGCCTTGGAGAAATATCTTGAGACCGGTGGATTTATTTCATGTGTGACTTAAAATAGCTGGGTTTCTAGCACTGCGTTAAGCTGGATTTCTAATGAGTTCCTGTTACCCTACTTTTCCTCGGCTTTCTTTTACATGGCCTTTTCCATGGATAGAAATAGGCTAATTGTTACCATAACAGTTTTACTACTTTTCTTGAGAAATCCACAGAATGGCCCACTTTTGAGAGACAGGAGCCAAGGAAGAGGAGAGGGGGAAGAGGTTTTTCCAAGGTCGTTCCTGGGGTACCCAGAGTCATCTTTGGGACTGAGCTGCATTTCTGGGCTGTGAGCCTTGGCTGCTCTTGTGGGTGCCATGTCGCTGTTGCCATTCCTGGCAGCACTGGGCCACTTAGGAGTTAATGTGTGAAAGTTACATCTTAAAGTCCTTGGGCAGCTACATTGGGTGTCTTGTCAAGCCTCAGGCCGCAGTGAGGTAAGGGAGTCTTAGAAAAGAGCGTGTGGCGGCCCTGGCCATTAGGATGCCTAGGGTCCATGGGGGAGGCAGGGGGTCCATCCTTCAGCCTTTGCAGGAAATGCTCTCTGGTCACAGCAGGAGACCCTGGCACAGCAATAGCTCAAGAGAGATGCTGATTTCACAGCTGTTTGGCTGAAACCTTCATTACGAATGTGCTGTTTCCCCTGTGAACCCCTTTTCTGTGGAATTCTAGAATGCTGGTGGAGGGAAGACACACATGCATGTGTGGGTATGGGTAGGGGGAGTTGCTGGGAAAGGGATTTCCATGAGACTGACTGTCCTATCGATCCCAATCCAGAGAATGCCAGACAGAGGCAGGAGGGCATCGTGAGCAATTCCATCATGTACTTCACTGAGGAGCCCCCCGAGCTACCAGCCAACAGCCCACACCCCCTGAAGCTGCGGCGCATCCTCAACCTCAGCCCCTTCACGGTCACCGACCACACCCCAATGGAGACGGTGGTGGACATCTTCCGGAAACTGGGGCTCCGGCAGTGTCTGGTGACGCGGAGTGGGTGAGTGGCCAGACACGTGTTGATGGATGCTGGGTCGGTGGTGAGGATGATATGGGCCAGCCCATAGGAAGTTCTGGGTTTGCCGAGGGGGCCGTGCTTGACACCATTGTCACTGAGCTGTGAGGATCACATCGGAAGGAGGCGATGGGGAGCCCTGGGCAGGCAGGACAGAGAAGTCCAGTGAGGCCAGGGAACAGGGGAGGCTTGGGGCAAACCCTGCCTGGGCTCATTCTGCAGATGGAATTAAAATGGGCAGAGCCAGAGGGCAGAGCCAGAGCCGGAGACCTTTGTACCTCCCCCAGGGCTCAGACAGGTCCTCTGTTAACAGCCTGATGAAACCACACCTCTTGCTGTGCAGTTGATTCTGACTTGAGGCAATTCTGCAGGACAGAGAGCTTCCCTAGCTGCTCCCCAAGGTTGCACTACCACACCTTTCTTCCAGGTAACAGCTGATGGGTTCATACTGCTGACCCGTCTAATAAGAGCCAAGCTCTTAACTTGTATGCCACTAGTGCTCCTTCAGAGTTGCTCAGTGGGTCTCAAATGCCAGCTTGCCCAATGAAGATTGCTGTACCTCAGCCCAGACTTCCTGACCTCAAGGTCTGGGTGGGCGCCTGAGAATTTGCATTTATAACAGGTTAGGGTGGGTGCTGATGCTATCAGTCTAGGGGTTCCCCTCAGAGAACCCTCATACTGACACTGTCCTTGAACCTGCAGCATTCTGACCCTTAGCCCTGTGACCAGCCAGGTCATCCCTGGCATACAATGCTTTCTCCTTGCCTGCACTGCAACCCCACAAGTCAGTTAATGTGGGACCTTCCCACTAGGGCAGGCAACGGCTCTGAACGCCTGCTCGCACCTCCCACAGCCTCACGAAGCTTCCCTGTGAAGGGCTGGGTGCTGAAATTGGCTCTGAGTGTTTGTCGAGCCAACAAAATCACACTCTCCCTTGCTCTCGTCCTTTAAGCAAACACAGATGCCGATAGGCTGGGGCTGGCCCAGGATCCTTGGCGGCGGCCCTTTCATCTGCTCGGCTTTCAGCCAGGCCAGCCTCCATCAGGCCAAGCTGGGCTTTTAATGGGCCCACCCCCTACCCTCGGGCCAGCCCTGCTAGAGGTGGCTCAGGGCCTGCACTGGCCCAGTGAACCAGCTTTGTCCCGAGGGCTCTGAGGCCACTGGAGACCCCGACCAGGAATCCAGAGAGGTCTTTGTTCCCAGAAGGCCAGGGACAAGAATGTCTCCATGACACTGAGATTGTCCCCGGAGCAGGTCTAAAAAGGACCAGTGAGTGAGAGTGGCTCCCACCAAGTCCTGCTCGGTGGTCCCCAGGAGCGTGGGCTGCGCAGCTGGCTCAGAAAAGCCCCACTGCACATGTCAGAACTGTTCCTGGTCAGAGATTTGGCCGTTTAAAATTCACTGGACTTGCTTGAACTGCTACCCGAAGGGGTTGGAGTTCAAACACTTGATTTAAATCAAATGGAATATTTCACACCACTAATGAACCCTGCTGGATTTGATGTCGCCTCCTCTGGGTTGAGGTTCAGCTTGCCTCTGTGATAGTTACTGTTGTCAACCAGGGCACAATTTATGCAGCAACTGAAGGCAGTACCTGAATTCTGTATCCCCTGTGCTGTCCTGACCAGTATAACCTTCAGACATCACAGCTGGGCAGCATGAAGAGCAGCTTCCTGACTGCTCTAAGCACATGGCTAATCTTTGGATACTGTCTCCAAAGCACTGTCTGGAGACGTTTCTGGTTGCCACAGCTCTAAGGATGCTACTGGCAATTAGTGGGTAGAGACCAGGGATGTTGCTCGACGTCCTCCAGTGCACTCAGGATGGCCCCCACGACAGACAGTGACTACTGGGTAGAGACCAGGGACACTGCTCCATCCTCCAGCGCACAGGGCAGGCGCTGCCACCGAGGGCCTGTGGATGGAGACATCCGGTAGTCGGTGATCTGATGCTGAGTGCCATTCGAGCTGGGGCTCAGTGCCCCTGCAGCACCCTCTATGGAGGGTGGAGGGTGGAAATCATTTTGCTGCTACTGCAAAGGAAGGGGATTCAGGAGAGTCTCAAGTGACCGTAAAGAGAGGCACTTCCATGTGACGTGTGGTCTCTCCTTATGTCACTGCTCCATTGATTAACTCAAACCGTTGCAGCCAGAATGGATTTCTGATCTAGTCTGGATTTCTCAGACCTCCAAAGCAAGCCTCTTTTCCTTAACTGGGACTTCAAGTCCAGAGTGCCTTATGGACTCTTCTAAAGAGCCAGGGGCTTCTAGAAACTACTGCAATCCCCAAAGAGTCAAAACTAGTTGACATCATATTTGGTCTAGTAGGGGATCGGCCAGGTTGATTGAAAACTCCGAATGAGCTGGATTGATGGAGTCCCACAACAGTGGCCCCAGACATCCATCCCAATGATCTTGAAAAGGGCACAATTTCCACAAAGTGCGGGTTTGCCACGAGCCACAGCTGACTTGACAATGGTGAACAGCAGTGTCCAGGGTGAAGCCGCCGATTTGCCTCCTACCCCGCGTCCTTTGCTTGGGTCTGATGACGACCTAAAACGACAGACAGCTCATTGCCATCCAGTCCAAACTGACTCGTAGGGGACCGTCAGCGGATGGGACTCGTATGGCTGCTACTGCGGTGGCTTGTCAGGCGGTCCACGGCAAGAGAGGAGATGGCCCGTCTTTCTCCCGGGGACAGCACTTGGTAAACTGATGTAGTAGTGGGGCTTCTCTCCTCCCCAAGAAGTTGTTCATCTCTGTTTCCCTCAGCTCTCCATTCTGCCCAGGGGGCTTGACTTGTTCAAGCGAGTAGTCAATTACTTATTTAGCAGAATCCTAGGTGAAGCGAGGACTGCTGGGAATGGTTATGCAGATGTGGAATACAAACCCACTCTGTATTTGTAGTAAACGGTGCTCTGTAGAGGTGTGCACTCTGACTCCTAGTGACCCTGTGAACAGTGGCTCTGACCCCTGCGCTATCCTGCACCATCCTCATAGTCTCTGATATACATGAGCCCATTGCCACCGTCACCGTGTCACTCCAGCTGCTTGAGGGACGTCTTATGCTGACCACCTTTCCCAGCATGGTGTCCTTTCCCAAGAATTGGCTCTTTGTAACAACACACCCAAAATCTACGAGACTAAGCTTCGCCATCCTCACTTCTAAGGAGCACCCTGGTTGCACTTTTTCCAAAACAGCCTTGTTTGTTATTTTGTTAGTCCATATAGTCCATAGGATGGTCAGAGTTCTTCCTTGGTACCACAGCTGAAAGGCATCAATTCTTCTTCGGTCGTCCTTCGTCATTGCCCAACTTTCAGATGCATAGCAAGTAATTGAAAAGACCATGGCTTGAATCGAGTACACCTTAGTCCTTAAACTGATAATCATTGCACGTTAGCACTATGGAGAGGCCCTTGACAGTAGATGTTCCCAATGCAACACATCTATTGCTGGAACCAAACATGTTGATTGTGGATCTAAGCAAGCTGAAATTACTGACAGCTTCAGTCTTTTCTCCATCTATCATGATGTTGCCTCTTGACTCTCTGGTGAGGATTTTTGTTTTCTTAATGTTGAGATGTAATCTATATATATTGAAGGCTTTAATCTCTGATCTTCTTCAGCAAGTGTTTCAAGTGTTTCACCAAACCATATAGAAGAGATGGTCCTATTACCTGACCTTGATAAGTAGCATTGTTTTTGTAAATTGAAAGTAACAGTTTTGGTAGAGGAGGTCATTTACATAAAAGATTGGAGAGCAATGCCAGAGTACTAGTTATAAAGAATTAAATATGGAACTTTTTCTTACCTTAAAATGTTTTTTTCTTAGAATTTCTCAACTTTGGTCAAGCTTGGACAACAGTTTTCATAGGCTCTTTTAAAATAAACCATAGTCTGAAAATTCTCTTTAAGAGTATTTTCGTCTTTGTAGGCTGATCATGGCAACAATCAAGCTAGTGATCTCAGTGGCTTAAAGCCATAAAGCTTTGTTTCTTGCTCACGTCAGAGGTGATAAAGCTTTGTGTCACATACTTTGGGCCTGTTGCTAGGAAAGGCTCTTTGAAGAGGAACATCATGCTTGGAAAGGTGGAGGGTCGGTGGAGGAGAGGAAGACCCTTCGACAGATGGACTGACACAGTAGGTGCAGCACTGGGCTCGAGCGTGTCAGAGACGAGGACGGCACAGGACAGGACAGGGTTCAAAACTGTTGTTCTAGGGTTGCTGTGGGTGGTCCTTGACTCAGTGGCACCTGACACCAACTCCCGTTGCATCAGGGGTAGGCACCGCTCAGGGACATAGCTCTTTACATCTGCAGACTCCTCAGGCCATTTTCTGTGACCTCAGAATCCTTCATTGGCTGGCAACTGAGAAGAGTCAGAATGTGGAGCAGTTCAGAGGGACTTGGGAGTAGTAGTCTACATCTTCTACCTACAGACCGTTGATCAGAGCTCATTTATTTGGTCACCCACAAGACTCCACTCAACTTGCTGTCGAGTCGACTGAATTGCTTTCTCTTACAGAAGGAGGCTGTACATTGCCTGGGAGGACATTGCCCTTCTTTTTCTGTAGATTTGGACGGACTGACTTTGGGTTGGCAATGCAGGACCCTACTCACTTGGCCACCAGCGCTCCCCTCAACCAAAAGGTGGGGGGTGGGGTGAGAAATGCTGTCCACCTGTGTGCCCAGGAGGAAAAGGCACAGGGTTTTAGAAAAAGGCACGAGTCAGTACTACAAGGGGTGACCTCTTTGTTTTCTCTCCGCCCCCTCTTTTCTTTTGCAGACGACTTCTTGGCATCATCACGAAAAAGGATGTTCTGAGACATATGGCCCAGATGGCAAACCAGGACCCTGAATCCATCATGTTTAATTAGCAACACGGTGGCAATTATTTCTAGAAAAACACAGCAACAGTATAATTTTTAACGAAATAAACAAAAGATCCCTTATTATCCAAATGGAAGATCCTGCACTAAGGTCGTGAAAACAGCAGCTTTGGTCGGAAGGAGAGGGAGACGGATGAAACCTTTTTTTTTGCTTCTTAAATACACATCAATGAGTAGGCAATTCTATAGCTTTAACCCCTTTTGAGTTTCCAGCTGTGGATCTTAATGAGTTTACTAATGCTGTGGGGCATGCGGGTGGGTGTAAATGATGTGGTTTGTGTGAGGACACTGAGCACAGATGCCGGCTGGAGAAACCTTCCCCCCACCTGCTCAAGGCTGATATTTGTCACTTAGGAACACGTGTGAAGCTTTGAGTCCAAAAAACAAAGGGGTCTCGGCGTGTGAGCGTCCTTATTTATTAATTCCTGAAGTTCTGCTGCTATGTTACTGAATGATACGGAAGACATTTGCATTGACCTTGTTGGAAAGGAAAAGACATTAAATTTGAACGTAGTGAAAGCCACACATACACAAACAGGTCCCCTCCTGACATTCCATTTCTTGCTTTTGTTCTTGGCTTACTCTTTTGTTCCTGCGTCGAGTTCTGAACCAATGCCAGTGTCGCCGGTGCAGTGAGCATGAGGAAACGCTATGTCTCTGCACGAGCAGAATCTTGGGAGACTGCATGCTGAACTAGCGTACCTTCACTGCTGCGCTGTGCTTCCTCCGGTACGAAGGGACACTTTGTTGTTTTAAAGGTACACGTTCCTGACCACTGATTTGCAAACCCTTGGCATTTGTCTCATTTATCTCTTGCTGTTTCTCAGTCTAGCATTTTCCGAGGGCAGTAGCCGAGATGCTCCCAGCTTGCCATAAGCACACTTTAATTTTCAAGGAGAGAACTCAGAAGTGGAAACAGGCTACTCAGTGTTATTACTTATTTTTCCTCCTTGGTCTCACCACATACGGCTGCAGAAGGGGTGAGGCGTACATGCACTCAGTAGGAACTCCTCCAAATGGATTGGAGAGAAATACTAAATTGATTCTAAATCAGTTCCATTCTCTTCTCTGTGGGATGCAAAACACCCAGCTTTAATGTGGAAGCGTGTACTTTCATACCAGCAATCAAAGCACACAAGGACAGCATTACCTCTTAGACGGCCCTTTAAGCATCAGGCATCTCTGCGTTTGAATTGAATGCCGTTTATTCTTCTAGTCAGAACTTCTGTCTTTCTATGAAAAGCAATTCAGTAAAATTTTCGGTCCAGTGTAGAGTGATTATCAGAAGGTTTATTCCATTTACCCTTTTTTTGTGTCTCTCTTGTGTTGAATCATCCTCATCCTTTTCAGTCTCATTGTCACTGATATATGTGGGGTCGCCATGTGTTGAAGTCAACCTGATGACAACTGGTGGTTGGTCGTGGTGGTCATTAGATATTGATGTATTAGGTGTGCATTTGGCTGTACATAACGAGACCTAGGGGATGGACTCTCCAGAATGATCTCAGTATAATCCCGGAACCAGATTGTAGGTTTGGTTTTTTGATTGTTTGTTTGTTTGTTTGTTTCAGATTGTTTTCCTATTTCTTTTTCATCATTCTCACCCTTTGCTCTCTGACATGATGGCTGTTGCAAGCCTGTTGCCTCATAGTTGCATAATTGCTCCTGCACCTCCAGCTATCATGTCTGCTTTCTAAGCAGGAAGAGGGAAATAACGGTCTATTATCGAGAAAACCCACTGGCTAAAATTCTATCACATGGTTTCCCCTAGCTGCATGTAAGTCTCAGAAAGGTGTTTTTGGTTTTGATACATGATTCTGAACATCGCTTCTTACTTTGCTTCTCTGGCTCAATCCTCTATTCAACTTTTAACCTGTCACGCAACATTTCTCTCTGGTTCAACACAGAACTCATAGTCACCATCCATTGCCTCTATCATCTTAGCTGTAGTAAAATTTTTCTTTTTCAATAAAACCTTAGCTACAGGTGGGGTCCCATGAAACTTCTTGTCAATGGAACAAAATTACTGATAGATTCTCTGGGCTAACACATTTTGTTAGATCATGCTGATTAACTGGAAAACTTTCTACAATTCATTGACTCCATAAAAACATTATCAACTAGCAACTTGTATGTGCACATATCCAGTCATTTTATCTTTGGTCCTGGACTAGGATGAAATCTGTTGCCTAGATTCCAGCACATATGTGTTGTGTTGGCTTGTTACTAGAGTTCCCACAAGAATATTTGCAAACTATCTCAAGGTGGTGCATTATCTGTTGTACTGCTAGCTGTAAGGTGAACAGTTCAAACCCACCAGCTGCTTTATGAGAGAAAGATGGGCAATCTCTGTCCATAAATATCTTCAGCCTTGGAAACCCAGGATAGGGTCGCCATGGGTCAGGCAGGCTCCACGGCAGTGAGTTTGGGGTTTTGGTTTCTTTCTGTCTCTGCAGTGTTTTGGAAGTCTCGAAAGCAGTTGCGAGAGTTTCCTGACTTCAGTGACCTGGGCTTGTCTTTCACCAGCGGGACGGCCTCACGCTCTCTGTAGAGGCTGGGATCACGTAGGTGGTGGAGTCTGCAGTGGGACTACATAGTGACCTGCCTTCCTCAGCCATGTGGCTCTCAGGGTCTCGGGCGCACTCCATGGGAACAAACTGCTACTCCTTGCCACACTTTTTCCAGAGTGCTGAGGTTGGGTTGTGAGGGCATGAGCAGATCCAAAATGTGGCAGTTCAGTCCATTTCCCTGGTGGTCTGATGAACCACCTGAGGAAAGCAGTGGCAAGCCTGCGGAGGAAGCAGCTTTCTGAATGACGTTTTCTGTCAGAACCAAAGGTTTAGGCATTTGTAGAGCTTTGGGGGCTCTTTCTAAATGTTTGTTTTTTGTGTTTTTTTTTAACATAGGGAAACCAAAACCACATAAACTAAGTGAAGAAGAAACTGTAGTTAGGCACATGAACCCATTTCTTGCCTGCCTTCTCAGGAAGGAGTTGTGGACACCAAATAAAGGCAACCTGAATTGGAATTTGAGACGTGTGGCTGACTTCTGGGGCTTTGTATTGTTGGGGTTTGTTTTTGTTGTTTGGGGGGTTTTAGCGTATTCCAGGGAATACAAATGTGTGTTATGCACATGGCTTTTAAAGAATAGTAAATGCACGAAAGTAAATAAGTTTCTAGTCATTGTTTGCTGTTGAATGAGACACTCTCCAAGTTCCCTGTTCCATATTTCCCAAAAACCATTCAAAGGAGAAGACAAGGAAATAGATACATTTGGTCCTTAATAAGTTACAGATACTGAAATGTTTAGAGCCCTTTGTTTCACTTTGGTGAGAAGTAGTTACTTTAAATTATTAACATATGCAAATTCTGCCCAGAATTCTTTATCATAGGCTGAGCTGGAGAAGCTGAGCTGGAAGAGAAGGAGGATACTTGGGTGACCGGGAGATTGTGCTATTATTATGCCTCATTTTAATTAAGTGGGGCCAATGTTTTATCAGACTGGGCTTCAAACCTTTGTGGTAATTCAGATAATTTACACGAAGGGGCTTGTATATCTCATGTGGGAAACACTAACCAGATCCCAGGGTTATTGTTTTTTGTATTTTTTTTAATTGGTACTGTATTATTAACACTTTATTTGCCATCCTAGGAATACAGTGGGAGATTGGAGTTGGGATGACACCCAGCATGTGTCTTTCAGAAACAAATTTGATGCTGGAACAATATCGTCACAGCACCATGCAGGGATTGGTGGTGGTGTTTTTAAAGGGTAACACTTTGTAGTTGTGTGCTGTTTATTACAAATTAAATGTTTGAACTCTTTTTTTTTTTTTAATGAAACAAGCATAGATGCCTCAGTGTGCCTGCTTTAAACTGAAGAGTGATTTCGCAGCACTCATCTACCGCTAGCACCTCTGAGGTCTGACCCTGGTGTCTTGGTGGTGGTATCTGGTGATGTTAAAGACCATCCTTAAGATCGTTACCCAAGATTGAAATGCTCTGTTGCTCAGCTTTAAAATCCCTTGTTCTCAACCATAGTGGGAAATGGTCAGGTGAAAATTCTGACTGGGATACTAAATTTTCAAAAGTGGAGTAAGACCAGTCTGTCTCTCCTGTGTACCAAGGCTGGCAGCGTAAACTTGGTCCATATCTATTCACCTAGTGGGTAACGAGTTGTGCTGCCAGCCCATAAGCAGGTAGATCAAATCCACCAGTGGTAGAAAGAGGACAATCTCTTGTGAAATTTACAAGAGATTGTAAAACCTGTTGGATGGTCAGATATGAGTAGATTCCAACTCCACAGCATGTAACAATTCTTTCTGAGTCCTTCTGAGATAGTAACTGCTTGGATGTTTTTAAAGTTGATATTATATTTCAGTGTATTTACAAGTCCCACCCATCAAAAAAAAATCAATAGAAATTGGCTTAGCTGATTACTTTTCTTTCCAATTCTTCATGCAAGAATTTCTCCAACAAAATAACAAACAAAATCCTAGATCACTCAAGGGAGGTCAACAGACTTCTCAACTGATGCCAAATGAATGGGGAAATTATTAGTCGAGAAAGAGTCTGTGTAACTGTGCTTAGGTAGACTTTCTGAACATGAGGCACACATGTTCACAAAATACAAGAAGCTTGCTGAGTTTCAGACCATGTAAAAACCCAACACCTTCCGCAGCTCCAGATGGAAGAGGGGGAAAAAAAAATTCTCCCTAGCATGGTGTTAAACGTAGAACTAGGTCTCATTAAGGAAAACTTGTGAAAGAATAGTGTTTTGTGGGCCTTGGTTATTTCTCTTGAACATGAGGCAGTTAAAAGTCAGAGTGGGAGAGTGAACAAGCCGTGATTTGTCTGAAAGGGGCCAGTCCGTCAGTTTTAATCCTGGGGGCTTAGCTAGAGGTAGTCGGAATGGCCTCCAAGTGAAGCATCTGTGTGGTACCCACTGCTTCCGGGGCTTTCGGAGAGTTGAGACGGGGCCAGACACGTCCACGTCCACCTGGCTCAGCAGGCTGAGCGGTGCGGACTCTGGCGTGCCTTTTGTTCGCCTCTCCTCCAGTTCATTGGTGGTTAATTGGCTAGAAAGAAGCTCCCATATGTGAAGGCAGATAGGGGGCGTCTCCTTTTGGCAGTCTTTAAAAAAAAAAAACCAAACCAAGAGAGAAAAATTTATTTTTTTTCCCCCTGAATGAGCAATAAGCAAAAGCACCTTGTGGGCTCTTCCAAACCCCTTTAGCCAGTATCTGGCTCCCAGGATGAAGGCAGCACTCTGGGTGATTCCTGACATTGTTCAGGGACACATACTTCCAAGATTAGGTGGCCTGCCTCAATCCAAACAGATTCGGTCAGAGAAATTGAAAACACATCCATAAACTCCCATCACACAGGCTGCCTAACAGGCTAGGTCTAGGGGCGACGCTTTCTGGCTGGACATTACTTCCTTCCACGGGGGCTTCATGTCCTTTCTCACACGGACACACACACAGCCAATCCAGGGAGGCTTGCACCTGTTCTTCCACGGG